GTGTGTGTGAACCGGGGTTGGGCTGTGTGAGGATCCAGAGTGAGAAAGATTGCAGAGAGAGAGAGACAGCGGCATGCACTTAGCTCTGTGGCAGGTTGATGTGAATATAGTGGTTCCTGTTACTCAGAATCTTACCTGCACCGAGAAGAAGCATTTTTGTTACTGGGAACAAGAAGAAAAGAGAGATGGTCAGGTCTCTGATCACTAGGAGAAGCTTCTCCAGGTTTCACTGCTGACTGAGTGAGGACAAGGAAATCTGTGCTCTCACTGCAAACTGGCCACGTACATCAGGCTAATGATAATTGGCAGGGATTAGTCCATCCCCAGGACACCATCCCACACCATAACGGCTGAGGTGCTAATATTACATTAGGGAGAGTTTCTGTACAAATTGCAAAGAGATTTAGGAACAATCGGGCCAGGATAATGGACAGGGATCAAGGTGCTGTGAGTGACAGCGAGGGGACAAGTGGTTTCTGGTCTGACTAGGATGGAGGAAGTGAATGTAATGGAGAGGACGGCAGGTGAGAGGACAGAAAATTAGCAAACAGACACTGCAACATCATTAGAAATCACACAATCACCAAACCAGTTGTAGCAGTAAAGGTTAGGCCTGGAAAAACCATGAGATAACAGGGACTGAGCTGTCAATAGAGCAGAGAACAGATAGGTTAGACAGTAGATATACAGTGGAAGAATTGCCAAATGAACAGTTTAAATGGAGAGGATCAGGGAGTAACATACAGAATTGCTGACGGGGCAGGGAGGTAGGGACCCGGACAAAGCTGTGAGGATGGCTGAGTCTCTCTATAACTTTCACTCTGAGTCGCTTTCTACAGCTCTCTCGCTCTCCGCTCACATAACTGAACAAGTCACTCTGTCTATCCCATCTCTCTCGTTGCTTTTTCTCCATTAGTTTGTCTAATATTGTGTAAAACACGGTTTAAGGGCAATGTGGAGATGAGATGATGTGACAGATGTCACAGGGATTTATTTTTGCTTACCCAGTCTGTTCTGCAGAGCTGTTGAATAAAAAATAAAATTATTCAAGCAGAAAATGTTCACAAAACTGACAAACCCATTCTACTATTATTTTACGGTTATGAATAACCTATTGGTGTACAGCTTTAACCAACATTATAAACGACACATTAGAACTCAACTGTTCACTGTCATTCGAAAGTGGACATTCACATTCGCTTGTTTTGTGAATATATCTGTTTAGTATTCCAGCGTTTATATTATTTACAATTGGTTTCCAATAATAAAGAGTGAGATATGGGGACAATGATCAAGGCAGATGTACAATATATTCATGTGTGTTTACTATAGCTCAGTAATTAGAAATTGGCATTCGCAAGCGAGAGTCCTGGGCTGGATTCCTGGCAGGGCGAAACCTTGGACAAATTTCCTTACTCTACACGGCTCTGCTTGCCAACAGTAAGTTCGAATCTGGTTGTTAGTCGATGGGGAGATCACGCGCTGGGGGTAATAATTCTTTGAAAATATAAAAATAATAATAATTTGGTCACTTATTCAATAACTGTCGATGGGGATGTCACGGGGCGCAATTGGCTGCCACGTTCTGGCCACAACATATACAGATAATACACTTTACAGTATATTCTGTGAAATAATTTCACATCTCGAAGACGCGATGAGGCTTTGTATCAAAGGATTATTATTATTATTAATGTTATTATTATAATTATTATATGAGTGGAAAGGGTTGTTGCAAAAACTGACAATGCACAAACCCCCCCATGTTACTGCCGCTAACTAATTCTTCGTCTGTCTCCACAGACTATGAAAGGAATTAGAATGACTCTCTTATGAGCTCAACCTCTGACCCACAAATTCCCAGAAACTTTTACCATCGTCTGTCGCCAAGTTTACACAACTATCGTTTCTAGATGAAAACACAGAGTGTTGTGTGGCTTTTCATGGTAGCTGGTACTGATGGGAACTTACCTGTGATCTCTCGGTGCTGTTTTACACCGTACCCGACAAGAACACTCAGCACCAATATGGCAAGTCCCAGGAGCAGTGAGGAAACCACCAAACCCACTGGCACTTTGGGAAAGAACTGGTCTGTCAGGAAATATAAATAGACGTGTAAAGATCGATTCTAATATCCAACAGCAAGCGGCTCTGTTTACCCTGGTTTGACGTATGACACACAGCAGAAGCCTCTGACAGGATCACTTTTAATCTCCCCTCAATGGTAACAGCTCATCTCAGTATCACATCAAATTATTTCAAAGAAACCACTGAAGGGATTGAGAAATACACGACAATGTAATTTCAGAGTCACGCGCACAGTGTAAACCAACTAATATTCATCGTCTGAATGTACCTCAGGTTGACACTCAGGCCATAATTAACCTAATTAATCACTATCCTCAATAATTCACAATATCCTATTCATTTCATAAACCTCACATTTTCTCTAGCGTATTATAACATTGTTCGGACGCCAGAAATCGCTTCAGAGCAAGTACTCTTTAGTATTGTGTGGTCAAAAACACAGTAGCCAATTCTGCACAACAGCCTCTCACAAACAGACCAGGATTGGGTTTAAAAAAAAATATTAGTTATTGTTGGAGTGATTTTTAAACCTTCCCCGGCAGGAATCCGCCATTGACTAAAAAGCAGGAGGGAATTAAGACCTGTTTACTGGTTTAATTCACACACAGGTTGTTATTGCATCAGTTGGTGGTGTTTTTATTGATTTTCAGAGAACGTAACCAAAAGGCAGAATGAAGATTTTTTCCGTCTGAACTCGTTTTCTGTTTTATTAATGTGTAACACAAACCAAACACAAATCCTAGGCTATTACTGCTATCTCTCTCACACACTGATTTCTCAACCTGTCACTAATATCTCTCCCACACACACATCTCCGAATGTAACTAATATCTGACACACAGGATCTCTCAGACTACCACTGATATCTCTCACACACATATCTCTCAGACGATCTGTGATATCTTACACACAGACACACACACACACATCTATCACGCTAACACTAATAGCTCTCTCTCACACACATCACTCAGAACAATACTATGATCTCTCAGACACTTCTCTCAGGCTAACACTGATACCTCACGCACAATCACATCTATCAGACTTTCATTAATATCTCAGGCAAACAAAGTTATCTCAGACTGTCACTAATATCTATCACATACAGACATTTCTCAGACTATTACTGATAACTCACAGACACAAACATCTCCAAAGCTATCACTGTCAACCGACCGTCACACACCCACTCACGCAGACCTTCACACAGACACTCACATAAACACTCACGTAACCCTCAAACAGAATCTCACTCACAACGTCACACACACCCTCACACAAGCCCTCACACACATCCTCACACGCACCCTCACACAGACCCTGATACACACACTCTCACACAACACATATAACAACCCTTCACAGGTTCCCGCACACACAGACCGTGACACACACACCTTCACACACCCTCACACGCGCCCTCACACACACCCTCACACACAACCTCACACAGACACTGATATACACACACTCCCACACGCGATCACACACACCCGTCACAAAGACACTGCCACACATACCCACACTCATACCCTCGCACAGACCATCACACACACGCTCAAACACAGCCTCACATACACACTCATATAACCCCTCACACACACCCACACAGGCCCAGACATAAACAATTGCACACCTGCTCGCACTCATTCACACAGACCCTGACACACACCTCTCACACATTACCTCATACAACCTAACACACAATTTCAAACACACCATCACAAACCCCCTCACACACACACTCACACACATCCTCTCACAACACATCTCACATCCTCTCATATACACACTCACACCACATCACACACAAACACTTACAAATGCCTTCAGATACACCCTTCACACACAGCCTCACACACCGTCACTCAGAAACGCAGACACACACACACACCCTCACACACAACCGCTGTCACAAACCATCACACAAACACTCATTCTGACCTTCACATACACGATCACACACAAGCCCACACACCCCCTCACACAACATCACGCATCCCCTCACACACACCCTTTCATATCTTCTCACACACAAACAACCCGTTGACACATCCGTAAAGGCAGCCCCTCACACACTTTCTCAAACACAAAACCACACAGAAAACCTCATACACATCCATCATAAAACCTCACACACAACACCTCACGCGCTCCCACAAACATAGCATCACACACTCTCTAACGCAATCCCTCAAACTGACTCTCACACGCAAACTTTACACACACCCTCACACACACCCTCACGCAGACCCTCACACGCACCCCTCACACACACCCTCACACACCCCCTCAAATAATGCCTCACACACCCCTTCAAAAAGACCATCACACACCCCCTCAAACACCGGATGACACAGACACTCACACACATAATTAAACAACCCCTCTCTTACAACTCCGCTCACAAACCATCATACAAACACTCACACAGAACATCACACAAACACTCGCACATCCACTCACACAATCACACGCATAGATCATCGCGCACAAACTCACACATAGCCTCACATAAAACCCTTTCACACACACCCTCACACACACTCGCATACACACCCTCACAAGCACCCTCACACACACTCAAATACTTACCCTCACACACATTAACACATCCCGTAACACACACACTCACATAACTCTCACAAATAAACATACACACACGGGGGCTCACACACATACCCACACACACACAGCCCTCACACACTCTCACACACACTCGCGCACACACACACTCACCCTCGCACACACCTTCACACACACCCATCATACACACAAACACACATACACATTCACAATCACTCACACACAATCACAAAACATCCTCACACACACACACACCAATTCCCAGCCCATCCCACCACCCCCCACCCCCCCCCACCCCCACACACACACACACACATCTGACCCTCTGAGCTGCATTGTGTCCCCAGGTGTAGATGCGTTCACGCACATTCTGAGCTCCCAGATGTCCCCTCACTCAACATTGTGTTGTGTCTCTCCCTCAGCTCCGGCCTCCCTGACTCTGGATCCTGAAACAGCCTATCCCAAACTTATCCTCTCTGAGGACCTGACCAGCGTAAGACACGGAAGTACACGGCAGCAGCTCCATGACTCCCCGAAGAGGTTTGATCGCAGTGTCAGTGTCCTGGCGTCTGAGGGCTTCAATTCAGGGAGACATTACTGGGAGGTGCAGGTGGCCAACAAGACAGACTGGGATGTGGGAATCGCTCGAGATTCTGTCAACAGGAAAGGATTGATCACACTGTCACCAGAGAATGGATTTTGGGCTGTGTGGCTGAGAAACGGGGATGAATATAAAGCTTGTACCTCATCTCCCACCCGCCTATCCCTGAGAGAGAGACCGGGGAAGCTGGGAGTTTACCTGGACTATGAGGGGGGACAGGTAACATTTTACAACGCTGATAACATGTCTCATCTCCACACTTTCACGCAGATTTTCACTGAGAAACTTTATCCTTTCTTCAGTCCCTGTTTGAACGACGGCGGCAAAAACTCTGAGCCTCTAAGGATCTGCCGGATGACAGGTAAATGAGGAGGAAACCCTCAGCCATGACTTGTGTTTGGCGGTGATGGCCACGAGGCTGAACCTTTTATAATCTGTGTCCTTATACATTATAGCTTGTGGTTTGTATTGCACCTTTCACACTGGGCCCACGGCACAATCCTTTCTCGGAATCGACTGTGAAGCGCCTGTTGTGTTTGTGAACGAATAAAGAGCTAATTTGCACAGAGAAAAGTCTAAAGTAAGTCACATGTGACACAATGAACATCAGGCTGGAGCTTTCAGCTCCTGATCTCGACAATAATAATCCACACATTGTACGCAGCTCCTCATCACTTCTGCCAGACGTCTCAAAGCCCATCCCAGGCTTTCTAAATCTGCGTTAATCCCAACGATACTCATGGGGTTTATCATTGACTTTCTGGTTAAAAAATAACGCGCTCTCTTTGTACAACACGGGAAACGGTTTTAAAAGCTCCCACATCCGCGGTGTTTCAAGTGCAATAGTTTAATAAACCCCAATGTTTGCGTTAATCAAAATGAATTAAATACGGTTTTGCGTTAACTCTGGGTTTTGATTTTAATCCCACACGGGAAACGGTTGTAAATTCCCCCAGATCCTCGGGGTTTAAAGTGCATCAGTGCAAAATATTCCCAATTCTGCACTAATCCCAAGTATATAAATCGTTTTTTGCATTAACTGTCTCCCTCTCTCTCACACTCAATCTCACTTTCTGTCTCTCTCACTCACTCTCTCTCTATCAATCAGCCGCTGGAGGCTTTGCTACAAACAGGAGACAAATAGGGGCGGGGCTGGGTTTGGGGGCGGGTCCGGAACTGGGGGCGTGTCTGGGTTTGGGGGCGGGGCTGAGTTCGGGGGCGGGGGCGGGGCTGGGTTCGTTCACGGGGCCAGTGCTGGATTTTGATCTGTTGACCATATTTGGGTTTTAAAGCGAGGCCGTCACTGCCTTGAAAGGGAGAGGAGGTTTTTTGGGGTTAAAGCCCTTTTTGTAATAATAATAGTAATCCTTGTATTTGATCCAGTGTGTTATCACGTCTTCGGAACGTCTCGAAGCGCTTCACAGTATATACCGTAAACTGTCTCTGTAACATGTCCTGTAGCTCAGCGTTTAGAGCCCTCGCCTCGCAAGCCAGAGACAGGGGGTCAATCCCCAATTGGGGGCGAAACCTTGTGCAAGTTTCCTCTCTATGCACAGACACACCAAGACACACACACAGATTGAGACACGCGCACACAAAGACACACCCCTTTAAACATACCGTCAGAGACACTCATACACAGTGGCAAAGACACACAGACAAATATACACACAGAGACACACAGATACATACATACACATAGAGGCACACACACAGACACACAGAAACACACAGAATTACACAAACACACAACGCGGGACAGGCAGAGATCGCAATGTCCACCCTCGTGTCCATCACACAAGACTGGCTTGATTCCCACATTGGTTGCCAACCTCCAGATCAACTCGATGGAGACCCTTTTCACCTCCCCTCAAGGAGTAGAAGGGATTTTTCTTACGATACACGCGCTTTGTGGCGTCTGTAAGAAGTGAACAGCGCAAAATAGAATCACAAGAATATTACTGTTATTAATTTGCTGAGAATACTGTGGGCAGTTACGAAGTGCAGCACCGCCCTCTGGTGGCAGTAAAGCGGTGCTGCAGGGTTTTGGGCGGGGCGAGAAAAGGATTTCACTCTGTAACAATATTAATAATAAAAATAATATAATTCTTGCACTTGATCCAGTGCCTTATCACATCTTCTAGACATCTCAAAGCGCTTTACAGAATATGCTGTAAAGATATTGGACTGTATATATGTGGAGGAAAAGCGGCAGCCAATTGCGCACAGCAGCGACCCACAAATTGTCATGGATTGAGTGATCAAATCATTATTGTTTTTTTCTCGAGAGATTATTATCAGGCATATGTTCACACAATCGCTCCTAGTGTCTCTCCTGTATAAACACAGCCACTCCCAGTGTCTTTCCTGTATACACACAGGCTCTCCCACTGTCTCTCCTGTAGACACACAACCAATCCCAGTGTCTCTCCTGTATACACACAGCCACTCCTAGTTTCTCTCCTGTGTACACACAGCCAATCCTAGTGTATCTCCTGTATACACACAGCCATTCCCAGTGTCTCTCCTGTATACAACAGCCTCCCAGTTTCTCTCCTGTGTACACACAGGCTCTCCAGTGCCTCTCCTGTATACACACAGCCATTCCTGGTGTCTCTCCTGTATTCACACAGCCATCCCAGTGTCTCTCTTTTACACATAGTCTCTTCCAGTGTTTCCCTTTGTATCGCCCAACCGCTCCATGCTCTCCGTATACACAGCCTCTCCCAGCACCATATGTGTACAGAAACAGCTCTCCCAGTGTTTCTCTCGTACAAACAGCCTCTTCCAATATCTCCCACATACACCCAATCTCTCCCGTTGTGTCTCCTGTATACACACAGTAGCATTGATTCAGCCTTAGACAGTTTACCTGGAAAATCTTTCTTTTCCAATGGAAGAAATGACGGATTTGGAATCAAACAAACTTATATTGCCAATAATTTCATTCCTACTTGCGCAATACATTTATCCATAATTAGAATATGAATCATTATTAAAAAACTGCATTAAAAAACTAATAAAGAACTGCAGACAGTGTTTGTTATTCAAAGCGAGGCCGTCCTCCTCGTAAAGGGGAGAGGAGTTTGTTAGGGCCATTTAAAACCATTTTTGTGATAATAATAATTATCCTTGTCTTTGACCCAGCTCCTTATCATGATTTGAGACATCTCAACGCGCTTCACAGGATAGTGTAGTGAATGAGTTTTTTGCAGTATTCAATGCAAAATGTCTTTGTATCTCAGGGGGTTAGACACACAGACACACAGAGAGAGACACGCACGCGCGCACACACACACCCACACAGACAGAGACACACGCACGCACAGACACATCCAGAAACATACACACACCCACACACACAAACACAAATAGATGAACAGCTCGGGACAGGCAGCGATCACAGTATCCACCCGAGTGACCATCACACAGGACGGGCTCCATTCCCACATTCGTTGCCAATCTCCAGATCAGCTCCAGGGAGACGCTGGTCACCTCCCCTCAAGGAGAAGAAGGGATTTGACTGAACAAGCGCTTTGCGGCGTCTGCAAAACGTGAACACCGCAACAACAAATGCCAGGATTATTATAACTATTATTGTTATTATTATTACGGAGAACATTGTGGGAAGTTAATCAGTGCAGCCCCACCCTCTGATGGCAGCAAAGTTGCACTGTATATTTTTAAATTTTAATTTGAACCCAGAGTAAATTTAAGCAAATGATTGTTTTCCTCAAATGCACAACAGCCAACGGGAGAGATGGAGAACAACAACAACAACAACAACAAGATTCCATTTATAAAGCGCCTTTCACGTCAGGAGGTCGTTCCAAGGCGCTGCACAGTTGGGTCATGACCCAAGCAGGGGGGAAATGGTCAGGGTGAGGGGAGGGAGCGAGGATGGGGGAAATGGTCAGGGGAGGGGAGGGAGCGAGGAGGGGGAAGAGAGTCGAGAGGGGAGTTGAAGGCACGGTCAAAGAGAAAGGTTTTGAGACCGGCCTTGAAGAAGAAGGGGAGAAAGCAAGGCGAAGGCACTGGGAGGTGGAGTTCCAGAGCCTGGGGGCTGAGAGGCTGAAGGCCCGACCACCGATGGTAGGCCGGTTTGGGCGGGGGACGTGGAGCAGACCAGATCCAGAGGAACGGATGGTACGGGGGGGTAGGGAGGGGGATAGTAGGTTGGAGAGGTAGGAGGGAGCGATGCCGGGAATGGCCTTGTAGGTGAGGATGAGGATCTTGAAATCAATCCTCTGGGGGATGGGGAGCCAGTGGAGGCGAGCGAGGGTGGGAGTGATGTGGTCGCGGTGTCTGGTGCGGGACAGTACACGAGCTGCAGAGTTCTGAATGACCTGCAGTGTGGAGGGAGGGCCGGGAAGGCCGGCGAGGAGAGAGTTCCCATAGTCCGGCCTTGAGGTGATAAAGGCGTGGACCAGAGTTTCAGCAGCGTGAGGGGTGAGGTAATGCCGTAGTCTGGCGATGTTCCGGAGGTGATGGAAGGCGGTGCCAGTTGTGGGGCGGATGTGAGGGAGAAAGGACAGCTCAGGGTCGAGGGGAACCCCGAGGTTCCTGATGGCTTTGAGAGGTGGAGAGTGCGGAGCTGATGGTGTCAGCGCATGAGGTGCGGAGGCGCTGACGTGAGCCAATCAGGAGGGCCTCGGTTTTTCGCACGTTGAGCTGAAGAAAGTTGTCTCTCGTCCAGGACTCGATGTCGGACAGACAGCTGTCAGGACATCGGGGGTCGTGGAGTTGAGAGTAGAGGAGGAAAGGTAGAGTTGGGTGTCATCCGCATACATGTGTGAGTGAACCCCATGTCTGCGGATGATGTCACCACAGGGGGAGCGTATAGAGGGTGAAGAGGAGGGGACCGAGGACAGAGCCCTGAGGGACACCACATGAGACAGTGCGAGGGGGGGGGAGGAGAAGCCATTTGTCGAGACAAAGTGAATATCAGTCAGTTATGCAGAGACCAGGACAATTTTACAGAGAATACGCCTGTTATACAGAGACCAGGCCTATCGTGCACAGACCACAGCTTGTATGCAGAGAGCTGTGTTGTTGTACAGACATCAAGACAGTTATAGTATCCAAAGGTTTTGTATAGAGACAGACCTCTTATAAAGTCTCCATGCCAGTTAAAAAGAGTCCAATCTGCTATGAAGAGACCAGGCACGTTATGCAGAGATCCAGCTAGTTACGCAGACACTTGGCCTGTTATCCAGAGATCAGGCTTTAACAAAGAGATAAGGTCAGTTATATGGAGACCAGCCCAGTTACACAGAGACCACGCTTACTATAACTTCAAGGAAACTCCACGGTCTTGTTCCAACGTACTTCTCCGACTTCAGCGCTTTTCACGTCGGGAGGACGTCCCAAAGCGCTTCACAGAACACACTGTAAAGTGAATTGACTGTATATTTGTGGGCAAACCACAACCGCAAATAAGACTGTCTGCTGTATCCGCTCGGCTGACACCGGCCTGCTTCAGATCCCACGCAATTCCCACCCCACCTTTGGAGGTTGGACATTCAGCATCTCTGTCTCCGAACTCTGGAGCTCTTCCCGCATTCCCTC